TGACTTATGGTTTCACATGTTTCGGGCGTAGTTATAGAGTTTGATGGCCACCGGTAGGAACGACCCTCCTGTGGTGCTCAGTGGTGCATTTAGGAGCAATGAGTCTTGCACTGAATGTGCTTCTGTGACTCCTGACAGTGTCGTAGTGAGGGTGATAACTGTTGTCCATGATTCCCTGCAGCTTTGCCAGCATCCTCCTGTCAGACACTGCAGAGAGTCCAGCTCTACTCCCACAACATCTCCTGCTTTTAGGATCAGCTTGTTGAGTCTGTTGGCATTTGCCCCCCTCAGTCTGATGCCCCAGCAAAGTTGTATAAAGAGGTATTGTGTGATTTTTTTTAAATAATAACTACTAGAAGTAATTTGATTTTCTAATTGTGGCACACTAATATATCAGTACAGAATAAGAAATTTGTCACTATGAAATAAAATAATAAAGCGGTTTAAATACAAAACTTGAGGCAATATATTTCTCCTTATTACAACTCATGTTACTTGACTTAGAAAAGCCACAATTCTGTTTGTCTTAGGGAAAAACGGATTAGCGGTTAGCCAAGCRACACAACAAAAGCACACACGTACACACTGTGTGGTCTCGTTTTGATTTAACCGTTTGTCTCCTGTGTGTAATGAATAGAGCTGATTCAGTCTAGGCTAATGCAAGTAGTGTGGTGGGCTCTGAGAAAGCAGGAGACATGTCAGGTCACAGTTTGGTGTTTATGTTCAACATATTTTCTCTTGTACAGTACAAATAAAATTAAACAACAGGTTTAATAAGACAGGGTTTGCAGTTCATCCTCCGGTTCTCCTCACAATCCAAAGGGATACACACAACCTCAATCTGGTCCTGATCAGCGTGGATGAGTGTGATACAGCGACGTTTTGGTTCATATCAAAATGATAGATAAACAAGGAGGGAAAAAGACAGCTTTGACAAATCTGTTGTGTCTTTGAATGCCACATGCTCATCTYTCATTTTCTGTTACTAAAACTGTGATGTTTATGTTCATCGCCCACCACAGGGTGAATGTGGTTGCATATTTGTGTGCGCATGTGTTTGTTTGTCTGCAAAATATATCACGTTCGAAACGTGTTGCAGGCATCAATTTGAAAAACAAACAAACAAACAAACAAACAAACAAACAAACAAACAAACGACGACAAAAACAACAATAAAGTTCATCCATTTGAACATTGCATTTTTGTCTTTGTTTTGTGAATTAAGGATTTGCAAATAAATGTATTCTGTTTTCATTTATGTTTTACACAACTTCCCATTTTTATTGGAATCAGGGTTGTAAAACTACAACTAGCTGCGAACTGCGCACCGCAGCGCAGCGGAGCGGAGACGCATGTAGTGTAAATCCGGGGTTAGAGTCCTCCCAATTCAAGATGTTGGTCCAGTTTTCTCTCCAGCAAACAGTTTATCATAATGTGTGTGTTTTATATGCACAAATGTTCACATAAGGTTTCATTTTTGCAGGTTTTCACATGATTCCTGTCTTGCATTTAGGGTTATGATGTGATCACAATTCAAAAATTCAACCAGCTTCGCTCTACAAGATGTAACTTTATGATTTAATAAGCTTTGTTCAGAACACCACGCAGCTGGTTCGGTCCCGACTGTGCCCCCTAGTGGGTTACCAGTGCCATATACGTTGCAATGCAACAATCTGCTATCGCCGGAGTCCGGTCTACTTTATCGTAGCCCATGTCATTTTCTCTAAAATTAACCGTAGTGGCTTTATGCCTCATACTAACCAGCTGACAGTCTGAAGCCATTCTATGGGACGGAGAACCCACTAGGCAGCACAGTCGGGACAGTCTGAAGCCACKCTATGGGACTGATAATGGCTAATTACGTCCATTTAATGGATGATAACATCCGAAGTGTCTTCAGCCATGTCTGGTCCAAACAGCCGGGTTCTGATGGAAACACATGGACCGTGCTGTCCATATGCGAGACTTAAAATCTGGTTTGTGTGTGAGCGAAACAGAGAAATAAGAGGAGCACCACTGCGCCCCTGCACTCCCCCAAACTGCTACCTATCGCTGCTCTACCGTTGCCAGGGTTACAATGCCCCCCCCCCCCCCCCCCCCCCCCCCCCCGACCCACCAATCGTTTTTCTCGGTGGGTATGAAGGGATGAGAGGAGAGGAGAGGAGAAGTGGCTCTGGCTGCTGCCTCTGCGTCATATTCATACCAGTGCAGCCGCCTCCTCTTTCCTCCTTCCTTTCCTCCTTCCTTCCTTGTCATCATCCAATTTGCACGCCGCTTGATCCCCCCCCCATCCATTTGTGTCTCTTATCTGCATCTGCTCATCAGAGTGGACATTTCTCAGCTTGGTTTCCTCTGCGTGGCTGACCTGGGAGGACTTTCTCCACAGCGAGCGTGGCGGGGGAGAGACGACAGAAGAAGACAAAAAAGGTAATCAACCGACATGAAGGGTATCTGAGAACGTCTGCGAACGAAACAACAGAACAGAAAAATAAATWWAAAAAAAACACTGAGAGGTAACTACTGATGGCACAAACTCATCCGAGGTGCGAAGGACGCCACGTCGTAGAGAAATGTGAAGGAGTGAGGTTGTTTACATGCAGCGGCTCGTTGTTTGAGGACAAGAGGAGACGTGTGCCTCCGCGAGCCGAGTGTGTCTGTGTGCAAGCACGTTGTCGTCTGTCACATATTGTTATTGAGCTGCTGCCGTTGCGTGTTCCCACAGCGGGGGAGAGGGAGGCGAACAGAAGTGGGAGTTCATTCTCTCTGAGAGATTTTTTTTGAGCAACGTGCTGTTATGTTGACAGAGGGGTAANGCCATATACGTTGCAATGCAACAATCTGCTATCGCCGGAGTCCGGTCTACTTTATCGTAGCCCATGTCATTTTCTCTAAAATTAACCGTAGTGGCTTTATGCCTCATACTAACCAGCTGACAGTCTGAAGCCATTCTATGGGACGGAGAACCCACTAGGCAGCACAGTCGGGACAGTCTGAAGCCACKCTATGGGACTGATAATGGCTAATTACGTCCATTTAATGGATGATAACATCCGAAGTGTCTTCAGCCATGTCTGGTCCAAACAGCCGGGTTCTGATGGAAACACATGGACCGTGCTGTCCATATGCGAGACTTAAAATCTGGTTTGTGTGTGAGCGAAACAGAGAAATAAGAGGAGCACCACTGCGCCCCTGCACTCCCCCAAACTGCTACCTATCGCTGCTCTACCGTTGCCAGGGTTACAATGCCCCCCCCCCCCCCCCCCCCCCCCCCCCCGACCCACCAATCGTTTTTCTCGGTGGGTATGAAGGGATGAGAGGAGAGGAGAGGAGAAGTGGCTCTGGCTGCTGCCTCTGCGTCATATTCATACCAGTGCAGCCGCCTCCTCTTTCCTCCTTCCTTTCCTCCTTCCTTCCTTGTCATCATCCAATTTGCACGCCGCTTGATCCCCCCCCCATCCATTTGTGTCTCTTATCTGCATCTGCTCATCAGAGTGGACATTTCTCAGCTTGGTTTCCTCTGCGTGGCTGACCTGGGAGGACTTTCTCCACAGCGAGCGTGGCGGGGGAGAGACGACAGAAGAAGACAAAAAAGGTAATCAACCGACATGAAGGGTATCTGAGAACGTCTGCGAACGAAACAACAGAACAGAAAAATAAATWWAAAAAAAACACTGAGAGGTAACTACTGATGGCACAAACTCATCCGAGGTGCGAAGGACGCCACGTCGTAGAGAAATGTGAAGGAGTGAGGTTGTTTACATGCAGCGGCTCGTTGTTTGAGGACAAGAGGAGACGTGTGCCTCCGCGAGCCGAGTGTGTCTGTGTGCAAGCACGTTGTCGTCTGTCACATATTGTTATTGAGCTGCTGCCGTTGCGTGTTCCCACAGCGGGGGAGAGGGAGGCGAACAGAAGTGGGAGTTCATTCTCTCTGAGAGATTTTTTTTGAGCAACGTGCTGTTATGTTGACAGAGGGGTAATGTCTGCACCTTCTTAAAAAACAACAACAACAATAACAAAAAGTGGAGTAGCTGGCTGAAAGATCAACTCTAACATCCCCGCAAAATAGCAGCCACACACACCTCAGGTGTTTCTTCTCCCACATTTTATCTCGTCGTTTTTCTCTCCGGCAGCTCTGGAAAAGGATTAGTTCTTCCCCGTCTTCCTTTGTTCAGAGGTCCCCATCTTACAGTGGCTGTAAACGCTGAGCCCACACACCGTGCCTAAACAAAACATCAGAGATGAGAGTGCTCGCAGACTAAAAGAACAWCAACAACACCAAAGGTATCTGCCTATGAAGGGGAAATGAAAGGAGAGGAGAAGAAGAGGAGGCCCGCAGGGTTGTTCATTGTGTCTTGGTGCTGACAGCGGTGTCTGACACTGTGTGTGACATTTAGCTGTGATGCCTCTGCCTGTACGCTGCCGTGTGGGGAATGTGCTTGTCAGCTCTGATTATAGGAGACACGTTTTTTGTCTTTTAGTGTATGAGATGTGAGTGACAGAAAACAGGAATGTGWAGTTTGTAAACAGAGCTTTAACTCAACTGGGTTGCTTTGTTGTTGCTGCAGCTCCGTGCAGTTGATGAACCAGTGGTTTGCCAGCTACTGCATTTTGCCCAACCAACTGCACCAAACAAACAAACAAACAAACAAACAAACAAACAAACAAACAAACAAACAAACAAACAAACAAACAAACAAACAAACAAAAAATGAAAAGGCTCTTGAAATATACAATCCATCACACATTTAAAACAACTGAGTCTTGCAGATAATGAGTTCTTTTTAAGCCTGACAGCATCATGAGMTAATTTCATTACAATTCATAGGATTTGCATAAATCTGTTTAGTAATTCATAACTTTCATTTTTTTACAGTTCCAGAGATTTATAGTAACTAAGTACATTTACTTTGTCACAATACTTAACTAATGTTTTTGAGGATCTGTAAATTCACCAAGTATTTTTTTTAATTGTGGCTTTTATTTTGTTACATTCAAGACATAAAAAATATACTTTTATTT